GGGTGTCAGGAAAGAGGGGGGAAAGCCGGTAGCCAGGTGTCCCGTGGGGTGACAGGTTTGGGGTTTGCTCTCAAGCCAAGTTCACTCTGTGACCTGACTGTGGCACGGGCTGGGTCTTTGGCTCTGCAGGTGGCAGAGTTGGGGACCCAACTCACCCAGGACAAGGCCAACAGCCAAAAGGAAGAGCTGGATGGAGAACTGCAGTCTAATATCGCCAACACCGTGAGACCCTCCAGGGCCACGCAGGTAGGCCCTCCAGAGCGCATGTCCCCCTGGCACTCCCCATTGCCCAAGGGAGCCTCCGGGATCACAGCCGTGTCCTGGTCATTGAGCAGTGATTCCTGGGTGGCCAGTTCCCTCGCTCAGCTACAGCTCAGACCAGCAATTCTCAGGCGCTGCTGGCCGCGGGGGCAGGTGTTGCCTCCCAGGGACACTGGCCATCTTGGTGGTGGTTGACAGGACTGAGGGGAGGAGGAGGGCGGTGCTGCTGGCTGTGCCCATTCGATGGTTGTTCCGTAAATATCAGGGTCAGTTGGCTGCTAGTGTTGTTCAGATATTCTGTATCCTGACTGATGTTCTATGTAGCTTTTCTTTTTCTTTTATTTTTAAAATATTTTTATTGATTAAGTTCTTATTTTTTGTGATTAATCACACTATGCTTATTATGTTCAATTTGTAACAATGAAAATACATCCTGCATATCAGATGTTTACATTATGATTCATAACAGTAGCAAAATTACAGTTATGCAGTAGCAACGAAAATAACTTTATGGTTAGGGGTCACCACAACATGAGGAACTGTATGAAAGTGTCGCGGCATTGGGAAGGTTGAGAACACTGATCTAAGGTATTTATATAGGCAGAAGTTAAGTGAAATGTCTATCTAGGTAAGCAAAGTATATGTCAGTCATTACATTGAGAGGATCCTTTGTATTGCAGTTCAACTAAAAATTTTCCACAAAATTTTTTTTTAAGGACCTAAGTTTTATTTTGGATAGTCTCAACTCAGAAGGAAAAGGTTTACTTCACTAGCATAGCTCAGTGATTGAGTGTCAACCTACGAATCAGGAGGTCACAGTTCTATTCACGGCAGGGGCACATACCTGGGTTGTGGCCTCGATCTCCAGTGTGGGCATGCAGGAGGCAGCACATCAATGATTCTCTCTCATCATTGATGTTTCTTATCTCTCTCTTCCTCTCCCTTCCTCTCTGATACCAATAAAATAAAAACAGAAAAGAAGGAAAGTGTCTTATGTGGCTTAAAGGACAATTACTTTTGTCAACTTAAAAATCTAAGTTACAGAAATGTTTAACCTTTTGTTTTTCAGTGGTATTTTAAAGATTCATAGATGCTATAATAATCAAGTTTCTTGGTCTAAATTAATAAACTTATCTTTGAATTCAGAATATTTTGCTTGCAAAAATGAAAACATAAACAGCTAATCCCTCTCTTTATAAAACTTGTCAGTGGTAGAAAACAAATGATATGGAAAAATAATATAAGTATATTCTGAATAGGTGGGGTAGAGAGGATCTTATTTGCATTCAATGTTTTTGAAGAAATGATGAAGTTCTGCAAATATCTGAGGCAGGAGAAATTAGTAAGTAGTTAAGTATCTGGTATATGTTTTTCCTTCAGACTATTTCCCTTAGTTCTCCATTCTGTGCTAGAGACCAAGACCTTTTATTTCTTTTTACTGCATGAGAATATAGTTTTCTTAAGTTGGAGAATATAAATCTTTTGATGATTATAGGCTTTCTTTTGGGCTGCAGTTTATGGAAAGATCAGGAACCATAAAGATCACTATCAAAATATATTATCACTGATCTAAACAACCTTTCAGGTTTCCTTTTCTTTAATGTCAAAAATGTTTCTGAGATACCTCCTTTCTAATCACCCAACCAGAAGATGAGGACAGCCTGCATTAATAGTTTTGTATTCAGATTCACCTGAGTTCCAATCATAACTTCTCCATAGTAGTGATATTACCTACCCAAGCTTCACCTTTATCATTTTTAAATATCTCCCAGCCCCCTAGCTTTGATAATTTTAATTTTATATTTTTTTACTTAGTTAAAATACTACCCATATATTAATGGCTTCTCTTTGCCTCTGTCAATAATAACCTTTCTGTTGATTTCAGGAGTTCAACAAGATGTAGCTTCACAATCTCTGGATCAAGAAGTTTTATTAAAAGTTAAAACTGAAATTGAAGAAGAGCTAAGATTTCTGGACAAAGAAATTTCTGAAGGTCTCTTTATTCTTACTTTCCTACTTAATTAGAAGATTCTGTTTTTGTGGTTTACAGTTGTTTTAATTTGATTCTTTACAATAGAGTATTCCCAACATTACACAGCTTCATTGGTACAGGATTATAAGAGTGAAACTAGTGGTTACTCATTTTTCTTTCCTAGGGGATATGTTTCTAAATTTTTCCTAACTGTCCACAACAGTTTAAATGTAGCCTTTTCTGATGTTAAGTGATGGGTTCAACAATCATGTTAAGGTACTTTCCATTCAATGTAACATTAAGGGGAAAAATGTGAGTAAACTGCCCTAACTGGTTTGGCTCAGTGGACAGAATGTCAGCCTGTAGACTGAAAGGTCCCAGGTTCGATTCCAGTCAAGGGCATGTACCTTGGTTGTGGGCACATCCCCAGTGGGAGGTGTGCAGGAGGCAGCTGATCGATGTTTCTCTCTCATTGGTGTTTCTAACTCTCTCTCTTTCTCCCTTCCTCTCTGTAAAAAATCAAATAAATTTTTTAAAAAATGTGAGTAAACTGCTTTCAGTTTTGCATTATATAAGCTATAGATCAGCTGTTGCCCACCTTTCGGACCTCTGTGGGCCACTGGTTGGTGACCACTGCTGTAGATAGTTGTAATAATAATATAGATGTAATTTTATAGCCATATGTTTTGTATTTAAATTATGTCATAAACTTTAAAAATTGTTATCATTATAGTAACTAAATGAAATTCGATGCATTGAATGACTGTTCAATCATTCCCTTATTATTGAGGAGAGCATTTGGATTATTTTGAACCCACAATATGGGCAATGTACCCTGACCAGGAATCGAACCAGTGACCTTTCAGTGCAGTGACTTTTCAGTGCATGGGATAATGCTCAACCAGCTGAGCCACACTGGCCAGTGCCTAGTACAAGTTTTTGTGTGGATATATATTGCCCAATAATTGTTTTAAAAAATATATTTTTATTGATTTCAGAGAGAAAGGGAGAGGGAGAGAGAGAGAGATAGAAGTATCAATGATGAGAGAGAATCATTGACCGGCTGCCTCTTGCACACCTCACACGGGATTGGGCCTGCAACCCAGGCATGTGCCCTGACTGGGAATTGAACCGTGACCTCCTGGTATGTAGGTCTATGCTCAACCACCAAGCCACTCCATTTGGGCTATTGACCAATAATTTTTAACAAGAAAAATTACAAAACATGTTTATAAAATCAGTTCCCTGTTAGTAAAGAATATGAATAGAGATTTACAAATCATCCAGAAACCTAATTTTAGACTTTTATTTTCCTTTGCTGACATTAAAATTTTTTTTAAAATCCTCACCCACGGATATGTTTAGAGAGAGAGAGAGCGGGCGCATGTGAGCACAAGAGCATGTGATCGTGTCCTTGTTCATCATGGCTCAGTGGTTGAGCGTTGACCTGTGAACCAGGAGGTCATGGTTATATTCCTGGTCAAGGCACATGTCATGGTTGCAGGCTCAATCCCCAGTGTGGGGCGTGCAGGAGGCAGCCTTTTAAGGATTCCCTTTCATCATTGATGTTTTTATCTCTCTCCCTCTCCCTTCCTCTCTGAAATCAATAAAAATATACTTAACAAAGAGAGAGAGAGAGAAATTGAGAGAGAAAAAAACACACACATCGATATGAGAGAGAAATATCGCTCCATTGCCTTCTGTATGCACCCTGACCAGAAATCGAACCTGCAACCGTTTGGTGTACAGGACGATGCTCCAACCGAGCCACCTGGCCAGGGTCTTTACCAGCATTTTTGTTTTCAGAGTAGTTTATTGATTTTTAGAGAGAGAGGAAGGGAGAAAAGAGAAACATCGATATGGGAGTGTAACATCCATCGGCTACCTCCGACACACTCCAACCACTATTTTTAACTGACTAAAGTTCCAATTCTATTTTAAGTCTTTGTCCACTTCTGGTGGCAGTACTTCTACATAGTAAAATGGGCAAAAGGTCAAAAGAAGAGAAACAACAACAAAGGTTTAATTGCACTCACCTCATTGAACCTCTTATTAACCAAGACTGATCATTATAATGGGCATCCTCAAGCTTGCTCAGACAACAAAATATTTGTGCACTTTGCAGCCATTTGCATCTTTCATACACTTAATAAAGAAGTAGTACACTTAACAGCCTTCTAGGAGCAAGCCTTAGATTAATGCAATAAATACTTCATGGAGATTATTGACAACTCTTGTGAGTGGGTGTAAGCTGCTTACTTTCCTGGGATTCTGTGCCCTGAATCCTGTTTGTACCTTGGAACAACAATGATTCTGCCTGTTTTCCTGCATTTTGAGAATGGCTAAGTCAGTATAACATGGAGTAAAGAAGCAAATGAGAAGCTGACGGTTTGAGCTGAGGAGAACAGGCTATAACTCTATCCATGTGCAATTTGTCTACTTGTATAATCTTCAGAGTTTTAACATTTATTCATGGAGTTAAAAAGTTTAATTTAAAAAAGGAATGGAAGTAATTGACTCATTTTCTGAGGTGGAATAAACTGATTTGAGTCTGGTTTAAGAAGTGCCACATTGCCCTAGTCAGTTTGGCTCAGTGGATAGAGCATCGACCTGTGGACTGAAGAGTCCTGGGTTCGATTCTGGTCAAGGGCACATGCCTGGGTTTCAGGCTCAATCCCCAGTAAGGGGTGTGCAGGAGCAGCCAATCAATGAATTCTCTCTCATCATTGATGTTTCTATCTCTCTCCCTCTCCTTTCTTCTCTGAAATCAATAAAGATATATTAAAAAACAGTGCTACATTTATAAAAGTAAAAAACAAAAGTTTAGAAGGAAAATATTAAGAGAGGGATGATAGATCTAGCAGTTGCCTCTCATGTATCATTCTTATATCACATTGGTCTGTAATAATGCACTAAATTGGTTTGTATATTTTAACATTTCAGTTTAGTCTTTTTCTTATGGAACCTAAGATGTTCCATAAACATATTTTCTTTTAAAAAAATCTCTAAATGTAGGGCCTTTCCAGGAAAGATTGATATCTTGTAGTGATTTTCTGACCTCTATAGGTGACTTATAACTTAGCTCATTCTCAGTAGCAGTTGTCTTAATCCCCTGAGCTTTGATAGCACAACTTTTGATAATATATATTAAATTAGATTTTCTTTTGCTCTGTCTTAGCCTTCACCAACATAGGCTTTGACCAGCACACGTCTCCAGTGTTCAGCCCTGCTAACCCAGTAGAAGACTGCTTGGCTCATCTTGGGGAACGAGTGTCCCAGGAACTGAAAGAGCCTCTACATAAGGCATTGCAAGTGCTCCTCAGCCAGTGAGTTACCATTGCTTCTCTAAGTAGTCTTCTGCAGTGGGTTGGTTAAGACTTTGTTTTACATAAACAGTGTAACTTCTTTTATCACTTACTTTTTTTCACTCTTTCTTCTCTTGCTTTTCCAAAACATCTCTGTGTTTTGAGTGACAATATTTGCATTAACATGGATTTGATTATTTGTATTTTCTTGTTGAGCTATCAGGTTTCAGCAAATGCTTTCACTGAGTAAATACAAGCTATATTATTTGTCCTGACCACTTTTACTACCATTCTCTAGTGGCCAACACAAATATAATGGCTTGGGTTTTATGTCTTGTACTTTGGGATTAACATTACATCTGTATTTTAGGTATCCCAGATGTTGCTGTACTTTGGGGTTGCACCATCTGCCCATGGAACTACTGCTATATTCTTATAGTGTGAACTCAGCTCCTAGCTATGGTTCTGACTTTTTCTCTCTCTCTTTCCCCCTCCCTCCCTTACAGCTAAAGGCAAGAGGCTTATAGTGAAAGTATATTAAAATAGAACCACATCATTTTTTATAAATCTTAAAAATTCATTTTTCCTAATTTGTTTCTGAGAATCATTAAGGAATTGATATGAATTAGAAAAAACATTTGTTTTAATGAATGTTGACAACTAAAACAGGATGACATCGCCTCTTTTTCTAAAAGGGCCAAAATTCAGCCCTAAGCGGTTTGGCTTAGTGGATAGAGCATCAGCCCACAGACTGAAGGGTCCCAGGTTGGATTCTGGTCAAGGGCATTTACCTTGGTTGCAGGCTCAATCTCCGGTAGGGGGCATGCAGGAGGCAGCTAATTGATGTTTCTAACTCTTTATCCCTCTCCCTTTTTCTCAGTTAAAATCAATAAGATATAAAATAAATAAATCCTATATAATAAAAGGGTAATATGCGAATAGACCAAATGGCAGAATAACTGGTTGCTATGATGTGTACTGACCTCCAGGGTGCAGAAGCTCAATGCAGCAGCTACCCCATGGTGGTCAGTGTGCTCCCACATGGGGAGTGCCACTCAGCCACAAGCTGGGCTGACGGCTGGCAAGTGCAGCAGCAGTGACGGGAGCCTCTCCCCCCTCCGTGGCAGCGCTAAGGATGTCTAACTGCGGCTTAGGCCAGCTCCCCACCGAAGCCATCAGTTGGGCATCCCCCGAGAGCTCCTGGACTGCAAAAGGGCACACGCTGGGCTGAGGGATCCTCACCCCCTGAGTGCACAAATATTGTGCACCAGGCCTCTAGTAAATAATAAAAGGGCCAAAATTCAGATGCTACAGTGTTGCTATAGTAAGGTAATTTTTACTTTCATGTAGGCAAAGTTTATATGTTACATGTAGTAGAAGGAAGCAACATGGGTTTAAGGAGAATTCACTTTGTTAAGGTGACATGAGCAAATGTAAAAATGCAATTATATATAGGAAACAGTGAAATGAAAATTACATTTGGATCTTCTTAACCTTATATATAGGAAAGTTTAAAAACAAATATGGAGCCCTGGCTAGTTTGCTCAGTAGTTAGAGTGTCAGCCCCATGCAGGTTTGATTTCCCATTAAGGGCACATACCTGGGTTGTTGGTTTGATCCCTGACCCCAGATGGGGCATGTGCGGGAGGCAACTAATCATTGTATCTCTCTCGCATCGAAGTTTCTCTTTGTCTCTCTCTTTCCCCCTCCCTCCTTTCCAGTCTCGCTAAAAATCAGTGGAAAAAATATTTTCAGGTGAAGATTTACAAAAAATAAAAATAAATAAATATGGAGAGGAGATAACATTATAGGTGTTGGGAAATAAGACAATAGGAAATTTGGAGATGGCTCTGGATTTCAAAGTATTCTATGGAGCCTTCTGGGCCCTTGCAGAGGTGAGGACAGGGTGAGTGGGTGGGGTTTATTAGTGCCTCTCCACTGCTCTTAAACCAGAATAGCTATACTTTCACATATGTTATATATTGATGTTTCATGTAAGATTTGAAGAAATTTTGTTTGCCAAAACAAACAAAACTTGTACAAGCTATTGGGACTGGGAGTAGAGTAACTGAGATATATAAGACCAAAAAAAATCTGTTTCCATCCTGACCAGTTTGGCTAAGTGGCTAGAGTGTCAGCGTGTGGACTGAAGAGTCCCAGGTTCAATTCCGGTCAAGGGCATGTACTTTGGTTGCGGGCACATCCCCAGTAGGGGGTGTGCAGGAGGCAGCTTATCGATGTTTCTCTCTCATGGATGTTTGTAACTCTCTATCCTTCTCCCTTCCTCTCTGTAAAAAATCAATAAAATATATTTTTTAAAAAATTCTGTTTCCAATTTTTTTAAATAATTTTTAGGGAGGGAGGGAGGAAGGGAGAGAAAGAGAAGGAAGCATTGATTTGTTCTACTTACTTATGCATTTATTGGTTGCTTCTTGTATGTGCCCTGACCTATCTAACCTGAAGCCTACTGTATTGGAATGATGCTCTAACCAACTAAGTTACCCTGCCAGAGCCCTGTTTCCAATTTATTTTTTAAAAATATATTTTTATTGATTTCAGAGAGGAAGGGAGAGGGGAAGAGAGATAGAAACATTAATGATGAGAGATAATCATTGATTGGCTGCCTCCTGCATCCTCCTACTGGAATTCGAACCTGAAACCTGGCCATGTGTCCTCCTGATTGGAAATTGAACTGTGTGACCTCTTGATTCATAGTTCGACACTCAACCACTGAGCCACATCAGCCCAGCCCTGTTTCTGGTTTTGATACAAACTATTTGTAGCTTTGAGCAAACCATTTCACTCTATATCTCAATTTATCCATCTGTCAATTTTAACTTAACTTGGATATTATGAGCACTCTAAAGAACAGTATTATATAGGTTTTTGAAGAAGTATTGTTTTTGGAGTCCTTTTTGTAATGTATAAGAAAAATTAATATTTTCTCACTGCAATGTAAGTGATATTTTTAAAAAATCTTATTTTTGATGAATATTATTTATTTATTTTTCTCTGACTCTGAATACTAATATAATTATTTTTGAAATTGGTATCTCTGATGGTTAGGCACCTGAATAAAATTTTTTTTCAGAAATCTCATTTTTCCTTTAGTATTGTGTTTATTTTCAGTATTTTTCTTCTACTCAAAGATAAATATTTTTACTTTTAAGACATGTTAAGATGTTTCCTTTATAGAATCTAAAGGATATCTGATATAATTTTCAAATGGCAAATACTAAAGTAGAGGTCTTTTATTTTTTAAGGAATATTGAACTCAACATATATCCTGTTTTAGCAGTCAAGAAGAAATGTTCTAGTAGATTTTAGCCAATTTTGAAAAAAAATATGTGTGATTACCAGAAATACTTTTGAAAGTTGTTAAGTGCTATTACTAATACCTTAAAAATAACTATCTGATGATGAACTAGAATTATTTTTTGTTGTTGATCCTCATCTGAGGATATTTCTCCATTGAGTTTTGGAGAGAGTAGAAGGGAGGAAGAGAGACAGAGAGAGAAACATTGATGTGAGAGAGACACGTTGATGATTGCTTCCCGCATGCACTCCACAGGGCTGGGATGGAGTCTGCAACTGAGGTACGTGCCCTTGACCAGAATCGAACCTGGGACCCTTTAGTCCATGGGCCAATGCTCTGTTCCCTGAGCAAGACTGGCTAGAGCTAGAATTACTTAAAACATTTTTTAAAAAATACGTTTTTATTCATTTTTAGAGAGAGAAGAGGGAGAGGGATAGAGAGATAGAAACATTGATGAGAGAGAAGCATCATTGATGGGCTGCCTCCTGTACACTCTTCACTGGGTTTCAAACTCACACCCCGTGCATGTGCCCTGACTGGGAATCATATTGGTGATCTCTTGGTTCATGGGTCATCCGACCACTGAGCCACACCTGCCGAGCATGAACTAGAATTATTATATAGGTTCATGGCAGTATTTTTTAAGGTGGAAGATACCACCCACCCTCCGTTTTCTTTCTTGTTCTGTTTTCAAGTAGCTCATCAGAAAGGGCTGGTTTTTCTGCTTCACTTTTCTATGTATTAGATGTCCTTTGATTGTTTTAATCTGCTGGATTGTTAATGTGCATATATGTGCGTACATATGTTTCAAATCATTTCATTCTGAAGGATGCTATTTTAGCCTGATAGACAAACTACCAATAAGATCTACTGTGACCCACAGTAGCATCAAACAGTTCAGGAAAGGAAGTGAAGGGGCTGATATAAACAAGTAAAGCTTCAGGGAGAATATAGGTAGGTATACTGTATAGTATCTGCTGAAGTTTAGGATTTACAAACACGTATTTAGTACAAGTTTTCTAAAAAAAAATACTAAGCTCATTTGGATGGGAATATATCAGAAAGGTAGTATATAACATATATATTTTTTAAATTAAATTTATTGGGGTGAAATTGGTTATATAAAATCTTATTAAAAAGGTCACCCCTGGTATCTCAGCATCACTGTAGTATTGATTTTATTTTGACTTGTATAAAAGAATGATACTCATGTCATCATAACCATTATTCTGAAATACCTAGTCCAGCACTTTCCAATAGAGATAATGAAAGTCACATGTATGTAATTACAATTTTTTGCAGCCATATAAAAATTTAATTATGATTGTAAATAACATTTTATTTAATGTAATATATTAAAATGTAGGTTTTTTTTGTTTGTTTTTTTTAAATATATTTTATTGATTTATTACAGAGAGGAAGGGAGAGAGATAGAGAGCTAGAAACATCGATGAGAGAGAAACATCGATCAGCTGCCTCCTGCACATCTCCTACTGGGGATGTGCCCGCAACCCAGGTACATGCCCCCGACCGGAATCGAACCCGGGACCTCTCAGTCCGCAGGCCGACGCTCTATCCACTGAGCCAAACCGGCTTCGGCTAAAATGTAGTTTTAATATATACTCCATATAATGACTTATTAATGAGATACTTTACATTCTTTTTTCTTTGAAATCTGGTGTGTATTTAAACTTTCAGCACATCACTAGCCACATTTCAAGTGCTTGTTAGCTACATGTGGCATCTAGACTTTATCATGTCATGTGTCAAAATCCTAAGTTAAAATAGTGTGGCCTTTAGGGCCATATCTAATTGAGTATAAATTCCTACATTGCTCTTGCCAGCTATGTGGATTTGGGATAGTCTCTTAGCTTTTCTGAGCTTCAGATTCCTAATATATAAAATGATAATATGAAATATGTGAAAAATAAAACCTACCAGTAGGCTGCCAATAAGTGGTAGCTGTTAGCAGTCGTCTGTATTCACAGGCTGAAGAAATCACAGAGTTGAGTGGTCAGATCAGAAAATACCTTTGAGATGGATTTTAAAATAAGACTCTTCTCTTTTTTACATATCCTATATAATAGAGAGCTAATATGCAAATGGTTGTCATGCTATAATGGCTCAGACACTCAACACAGGGGAGAGAGGAATGTGGACCAGCCAGGCACAAATGAGCTCGCAAGAGAGGAATGGGGACCAGCCAGGCTGTGGCCAGGAGAGGGACAAGCTGCCTGCCCTGAGATTCCGGGTGCCAGCAGCTGCGCCTGTGGCCCGGGGGGGCGGGGGGGACAAGCTGCATGATCTGTGGTCCCTGGTGCTAGTGGCTGGGGCTGCACCTGGGAGAGAGACAAGCTGCCCGCCCCACGGTCCTGGGTGCCAGCAGCTGCGCCTACTCCTGCAGCCCAGGAGAGGGACAAGCTGCATGCCTTGCATTCCTGGACAATCAGGCAGGCAGAGGTGGTTAGGGGTGATCAGGCAGGCAGGCAGAGGGGTTAGGGGCGATCAGACAGGTAGGCAGGCAGTTAGGCGCCAGTAGTTCCAGATTGCGAGAGGCAGTCAGACATCCCCTGAGGGGTCCTGTATTGGAGAGGGTGCAGGCCAGGCTGAGGGTCCCTCCCCGCCCACATGCATGAATTTCATGCACTGGGCCTCTAATCTATATATATATATATAAGCCTAAGTGACCATCCAACAGTTCAACCGGTAGCTATGACACGCCCTGATCACCAGGGGACAGACGCTCAATGAGTAGTGGAAACCACAGGCATGGAAACATGGAACAGACTGATAAATCTCAGAGGAGAGGGGGAAAGGGGAAGGGTGAAAAGAGATTAATCAAAGATCTTAGATGCATATTAGAGGTCCGGTGCATGAATTCACGCCCTCTCACAATTCCAGACCCCTTGGGGGATCTCGGAGACCCAGTTTTGGCCCAATCCCCACAGGCCAGGCTGAGGAACCCCACCAGTGCACGAATCCTTGCACTGGGCCTCTAGTATGTTAATAATTTGCCCACAAAAGGGGGGTTACATTTTACTAAATCTATTATCTAAGCTGTTTATGCTTACATATGTTACTTGGTTATCAAGTATTTCGTTGTTGTTATTGCTAATTTGCACATGAAACCAAGACTTAAAATATAGTACTCAAAGTCCCTCAATAAATTATTGATTGAGCCCAGCTGGTGTGGCTTAGCAGTTGAGTGTCGACCCAGGAAAAAAGAGGTCGCCGGTTCAATTCTTGGTCAGGGCACATGCTCAGGTTGTGGGCTTGATCCCCAGTAGGGGTGTGTGCAGGAGGCAGCCAATGGATGATGTTCCTCTCTCATCGATGTTTCTATCTCTCTATCCCTCTCCCTCTCTCTCTAAAAATCAATAAAAACATTAAAAAATCATTGATTGAGCATTGTCGTCACTCAGTGATTTGAATTTTGGCATAACTAAAACATTCATGGAAACAATCAGAAAAGCTTCTCTCTCTGCTCTCTAGGATTTTATGTTATAAGACACCAAGTTAAAAATAGAGCTCCGTTTATTGACCTTGTTTATTACTTCTTATATCCTCAATTTGAAAAATGTTCCAGTGACAAGTCTCTTTAATTTTTAAATATTTTAGATTTTTCGCCTTAAAAAATAAAATTATGCTTTTAATTTTATTAATAAGATAATACTTATTATTTGATCCCATATTAATAATTTAAGTGTTTATGTTTATCTACAATATAAAAATCCTGTTGAGTAACTAATGCAATTATAAACATTTATTATTTTTATTATTACTTGTTATGTTAACTGATTTTCGAAACTGGTAACATGCATCTCAGCCTATTGAGGATGCTTGAAGAAAAGTGTATACCAAATGTTAATAGCCATATCTCAAAACAAAACAATATGTTGAATTATCTGTCTTAGTTTTACAAAAAGTTCCTACAACATTAGCGTAATGACTGTATATTTATTCACCTGGAAATTTAGAATTTTTCTACTTAGTGACACAGACTTTTAAAAAAAATTTCTACAGGCCAGTGACATATCAGACATATCGGGAATGTACACTGGAGACCACAGTTCATGCCAGCGGCTGGAATAAGGTATTAACCAAATTATCTCTTCTCTTGTAAGATTTTAGTGTGTTAATGATAAAGCAGAGGAGGAATTGCCTGCATCCTATAAGAGAAAACTGTTAGAGCTCATTATTTAATGCATAAGTCCAACTGTATAAAGTGAATATTTTTTTTTTGAGAACATGATCCACATTTTATTTACATTTTAAGACTAACTTTAATCTCAAAAATCACATATCCATTCACCTATTTCCTTTTTGCTGATTTCTCTTAAAATTAAATGCATGGATTGTCAAAGACTGTAAACAAATATTTACCATGTCTGTTACATGTAACACACAGAAACAGCTTTTAACAGAAATTCATTGACCTTCCCCATGACATTTTTTTATTGTAAACACAGGTATCAAAACAATCCTGAACATATTTTTGATACTATTGGTAGTCAGCACCCACACCACTTAAAAAATTAAAACAATTTGAGACAATATTCATTGTACCTTCTACTTTAGACAATTTAAATCGAAGCTCTTTCACTAAGCAAGATGGATAAAGCATGCCATTTCTCTTTTTTCCTTACTTTCATCTTGTAAACCTGAATTCTATTTTGAATACTCCAGGTTTATGTTTAAATGACAGAGCCTTAAAAAAATTGTGCTGCAATTTTTCTCCTGTTACCTGAAAACATAATGTGTGTACATATATGAAATATATTCTTACACATGCCCAGTTCATGTTTACCAGTTGGCATGCTTTTACTTAATGTGTGGGTATTTTGCATTGTGATATTTAATCAAGACATTAACATGAGTAGGAGATTGTTGATTTAAGTTTGAGATCCATTAAAATTAATTATTGTATGTTTGTCCTTCTGGTGGCTGTGGAAGCTTCATATTTTCTTTGGACATCATTAGATGTCTTAGTTCTTGCAGTACAACTTTAATGCTATATGAATTTTCCCGTTTTGCTAATACTGGCATGCTCTGTGCATCTGCCATTCTACTGGAATTATTTGTTCCATTCATATTAATTTTGGTTACAAATCTAACTGATGGAGGAGCTTCTGGGTATTTAGGTCCACATTCGACTTTCAGACTACATATATATTCTGTTTTCATAAGTTGCCCTTGGTGGCCCAGTAATCATGCCTGTCCACCTTGTAAGTGTCATCATCATCTTCAAGGCCCCAGCTAATCGTACCATCGCTTACTCCTTTTTGTCCTTCAAGTTCTTCCAACAAGCAAAAATTACAAGGAACTTTAACTCCTGTGGAGACCGCCATCTTTTTCTGCACACTAAAGTGGATATTTTTATTAAAGTGGCTTTAGATTAATGCTGCATGGTCTGCTTGGCCCCAAAATATATATGTCCTATAGTATAGCGGTCGCCAACTTTTCAGACCTCACAGACCACCAGTGGTCCGTGGACCACAGTTGGCGACTGCTGCTCCAAAGGTTTCCTATAGTATCCCACTCTTCTTTGCCATTTATCCTTAATTTCCCATCATTTTTTTCCCCAGTTTTAACTTTACTGTTTTAATATCATGAAATACAAGTACAACACATTGTACACGTATACTTTTTTACTACATGGATATGGAATAATACATTTGTGTTTTTACCAGAATCTGTATCACCCACTATGTATGGTTTTAACATGAATAAAATAAAAAACACACAAGTCTTCTCAACCGTTGTTTTTAATCTTAATATCTTGTTCAGCTGCTTTGGAGAACAGCTAAGAAATGCAAAATCACCTTAGCCAAGAGTTTTGACTCGGTAATTTTGTTATTTCTTGTTGGCTGAAATCTCCCTTATGGTGGCATTATAAAGACACTGCACTTACAGGGGACAGGAAAAAGTGTTGTCTTAACAACCCTCTTAAACCTTAAGAGGGCAAAGGACCATTTCCTATAATGTACAGTATATTAAAATAAGTAACAACAACAGAGGACCATAAAGCTCCACATGTATTGAAGAAAAGCAAGTTTGCAAATATTTAAGTGAGAGTAACATCCTATCTAATAAAAGAGAAACATGGTAATTTGGCGTACGACCGCTACCCTTCCCATTGGCTAATCAGGGCGATATGCAAATTAACTGCCAACTAAGATGGCGGCTAATTTGCATACTGCAGGCAGGATGGGACAGCGCCATCCTGCCTGCCCTTCCACCATCCAGGCCTGCTATCTGTGACCTGGATGGCAGGCGACCCAACCCAGGGCAGGCAGGGCGTGACCGCAGCTGTCCCCCACTGGCCAAGACCCCAACGGGCTCTCCCGCTGGCAGACTGGGGCTGGTGGGGCAGCTGCGGCGTCTGCCTGCAGTCCCGCACCAATCCACTCTCCCGGTAGAGCAGGTTGGGGCTGACTGC